TTTCATACTTACACAATTTTTACAATCACAACATACTTACATATACAATTTTTATATTAAACATAAAATGTATTATAGGTATATTTTCGATAATTCTTATTCTATAAAAAGACATTAGTGTACATTGATGAACCACATACGATATGATATATATATTTTTTTGTTATTACAATTTATTTTTTGTTTTTATATTGCCAAAGAAAAAAAAAATTGGACTATTTTCTTCTATATTGCTCCAAACTATACAAATCATGAAATGTACACAGAGCTTTATTTCAATTAGAAATAGTAATAAATAAACCTTACCAGTTTTACAAATATTAAAGTTTATTGATAATTTTAATATAATTACTTAATTATTTTTATATTTGCATGTTCAGAAATATCAAAATGACATAGATCATTGAAATTTATAAGATTTTTTTGCACTGCTGCTAATGACATGATAATAACAGTAACTATCTTAATATTAATAAATTATTTTTAAATTCTATTTAATTTTAAAATAATATGATATAGATCACTGTATCAATTTTAACATGATAACAATTATTAAAACAGAAAACATTTTGTAATATTTAATAAATCAAATATAATTAAATACAAAATGACAAATTTAATTTCAAAACATAAAATAATTAACATAATTCTTCTTATACTTATTAAAAGAATAATTTCCGAAAATTTGACTATAATATAACTCTCTGGATCTTCTAAAATCCAAATTAAAAAATTAGGTTGGGTAAAAATTAATAATACAAGATAACATTTTTATAATATAATTCCTCTTATACTCCTTCTATTAAATTTACTTAACCAAATTAAAAAAATTACGTAGGTTAAAAATTTATTTCTTCGAATTATTTAATATTTTTTTACTTAAACGCTTAATAATTGAAATATTAACTCTAATTATTTTACTATAAAAATTTCATGCAAAAAAATATTTCCTTCATCATTATAGGGATTTGAAATTTAAAACGACTATATTTTTTTTGCAATTCTTTCCTAAGTGCAAACGTATATACGTCCATATTAAGCTATGAAACTGCAATAACCAAGAATGCTCTTCATAATTTCGAAGAGTATTCCGGCAAACTTAAGCGTCAAAGTAGCAACGATTACAACAAAACAATCAAAAGTACGGTTGGCCATAAATTATGAGCTTCGCATGATTATTGATTCATTAAAGTGAGAAGGATCTAAATCATAGCAAGAAGTTCGCAGTAAGATTCAGTTAAACAAAATAATCTATTTACTAAGATATTCATACAGATCATCGATGAATGATTCAATGCAGCCCCGTTTGTTAAAAACTATTACAATACATCAACTTTATTTGAAATAAGATAAACAATTGCCAAAAAGTAAATTTAACTCACTGCTAAAACAATAACTCACAAAACTACATCAAAAAAATATATCTCACTAACCTACTACATATTACAAATTCGTTGTTAACTAAATGGCCACAAATATAAACATCTTCACAAAACTAATTTAACAGAATAATATGAAAAAATTAAAAAAAAAAGACATAATTCACCTCTCAGCTCTCGGGGGAACACAGAAGGAGAATACGAACAGGAACTTAACTCAGCTGTGATTTCCTCTCAGTTGTGATGTTCTTATTTATAAACAAAGTTTGCTTCTCATCTGCTCAACTCCCTCAACGTCCATCCACCGGCAATAATTGCCGTTTTTAATTCCGCACCAGTCCGCGGAATTCGCGGATCTGGTCTCCGCTGAACTCCAAATTCATCAATCAACTGACAGCCATCGATGATAAAAGGATTCAGAAGAATGCGCCGGGAAGCATGGCACATTCAGAAGAATGCGCCAAACCATTAAGTGCATTCTTCTGAATGCGCTGAACAAAAGCACGCATTCTAACACTACCCTATTTACTTTAGTGAATTGGCTCTAATTAAAATTATTTCAAATTTCTGCTTTTTCCGCGAAATTAACCTTGAATCCTGCTGCTTCCGAAAATTTGGCCAATGCATATTACTTAATCATCATTACTAAAGGACCTTATTATTATTACACTAATTTACGGCCGATGTATGGATCTACTATTACTATTTTTGTACTGCTCCCAACTATTACTATCACCAATGATTATGTTACTACGTACTAATACATAAATTGAATCATTGATATTGTTATTGTTTACTGATTCACTGTTGTCAATTTACGATATGCTGGATATGTGATTATTATATATATTGATCTAATACTAATATAAAATAGTTTGATAACATATATATTATATATGATTCATGCGTATTGTATATAATTTTTAAATAAGTACATATGTATATTAGTATTTTGATTACTAGATTTGATTATGCTAATATTATTATTAATAAAAGAAAATATATAGCTCTATTGTTGTTATATTAGAAGATTAAAAAAAAAGAATTCTTTCAATTTAAATTCTTGAACATAACAATTGTTAACTGACTACCACTATCTAATTGTCATCCCCTAACTATTTTTTTTTTGAAGAAATGCCAATAGCAAAAAAAATTATTACCAATCACTTACAAGAATATTCCTTCTTCATCAATTCAAGAAAAGAAGAAGGAATTTATCCCTAGAGAAATCATCCCAAAAGAATGATGAAAAATGGGCAAGGTTAGCACAATAATGTGCTAACTTATTACAATTTCTATTTGCTAAAGAAAAGTAACAAAGTTTAAACTTAAGAAGATAGTCTAAATCCTTAGGATTTAGAAAATCTTTAGCAATTACCGGATTTTTAAAGGTATTCTGAAAAATTTTGATGACATTAGAATTATCACCTTCAATGACAATCCCTTTGGCTTCTAGCATCCAATCTTGTATGTATTCTCTACAAGCAAGAATGGCTAATAGTTCCATTTGTGAAGAATCCCAATGAAGGCTTTGAATGCCAAAAGCAGCGATACCTCTCCCTTTGTAGTCCCTGAAAACACCACCAATCCCCTAACTATGATCTTTCGATTATTACTTAATTTTTATTATTTGATCTCTATCTTCCAACTACCATTATTTGAATGTTGCTTAACTGCCACTATTTGACCGATATCACCTAATTAATGTTATTCGATCGTCCCTCGACTGTCATCATCTAACTACCAACCATTGTCATTATTATTGCACATATTGGCATTGATTGAATTGAAAGGTCAAGTTTGGGATTTTGATTCTAAGAAAGGGTAGAAATACAACCCTAAGGATTAACATCATATAACTATTACATCTTCATATTCTCCCTTACTTTTGTAGAAATATAAACTTGTAATCCTGTTGTCTCTAATTGAGAAGGAAGTGAACTTTTGAAACATATCTGTATAATGGATCATTTCACTCCGCCAAACCTTGCGGTTTTTTCATTTTTCATAGAAAATTTTTTATGTATATTATATTCTTTATTGCTATCTTCCAGTGCATTGGATATTACTAAAAAATTAAGACATAATCATTCACTCTTTATCCCTATAAATTTTCTTGTACCAAATAATAAATAATTTTTATTCAAATTACATCAATATTAAAACGATAGCATTAACTCCCGTCCATCTAGGTTACCCCCTCTGAACGTATATATATATATCCAAAATTCAGATATCTCCGGTATATAAAATACTATATATATATCAGCACGGACCATCTGTGTATAAAGCCTGATACTACATAATTATACATCTTCTTTATTTTAAGGTCAGCGCTAAATGATATATATTATATTATAATATATTACTTTTGATTGTTCATATAATAGTTATAATTTTTTTTTTAGGAAAATTAGTCCGTAAAATTTAAAAAGATGATATGTATCCATTGTTTTGAAAAACCGGACCGACCGGCCGGTTCAACCGTGAGCCGGTCTTACGGCGGTTGTCTATCTAAGAACCGTCTAACAATAACCGCAAAACCGGCTTAACGCCGGTAACAATAATATATTAAATATTTTATTTTTAAAAATGTAATTTAATTAATAAATTAATTTAAATATCATATATCTTATTTAATAATTGATTAAAAAATTTATATATGTATAGTAAATTAAATAGAATTAAATAAACCAAGCTCGATCACATGATACCATAATACATGAAAGCTCTTAAAGCATGAGTTTAAGAGAGCATGTACAAAGAAAGATATATAAACAAACAACAATTAGAATTCCTAATGATGTGGGACTAAAAACTAGTTGTTTTTTGTTTCAACATTCAACAATGTGCATTAGATTTGTTTGAATGAGAACTTGTTGGAAATTTTTTTTGTAGAATATTCAAATAAAAAATAATCATAATAATTTTTAAACTTCTTAAATTTATTATTAATTATATTTTATAATTATTTAAATAAAAAACATTATTTATCATTTTTAAAGTTCTAAAATTTTCTAAATGCGAAATTAAATGATAGAAAAATAAAAATCTTAAAAATTAATATGTATGACTTTTATAATTATAAATATAGTTTTATAATGTTAAAATTTATATATAATTTATATATGTAAATTATGCATAAATATATAAAATAAAGAAATCATTATATCAAATTATATATATTATATTATAAAACTAAATTTTTATAAAATATAAATTAAAATAAAAAATAAATGTAATATATTTATATTTAAATTTAAAATTAGTAATTATTTATATTTAAATTTATAGCATAAATATAATAATTATTTATATTTAATTTTAAAATTATGTAATATATTATATATGTATGAATTTTATTTATTTTTTAGTCTAAAAATTCTTAGGATTATAATTTTTTTATGAATAATTTGTCATTATTTTTATGTTAATTTTATTACTTTTAATTATATTATTATTTATTACGTCATCTGGTTCGACCCCGGTTTGACTGGTTCGAACCGGTCGAACCGGTCGAACCATGAACCTCTCATTCTTCCGGTTCGTTGTCCGATCCGATTTTCACAACCTTATATGTATCACTGTTTAAAAAAATTAAATAAATAAAAGAAGAAGAAGAAGGGAGGTTCGAGCGTTGCCTTTTTGACCGAGAGGTGGAGGAACGCGTGAGAACAGAGCTTCGTCTCTGTTTCTTCCATTACTATTTAAGTACTACGCCCACCCGACAAGCAGAGCAGGAGAAGACGCTGTAGGCTGTACCTTCCTCACTCTCTCTCTCTACCTTATCTTCAACTATGTGCCAGGGTACTAGAAAGCAGTCCCCTCCGCCGCCGGAGGAGGCCGTCGCCCTTCTTCTCGAGCTCTCTGCGGCGGATGACCTTGCCACCTTTAAGCAAGCAGTAGAGGAAACCGACCTTACCCTCGACGCTGCCGCTCCGTGGTACTCTCGCTCGGTCGGTCCGGCCGCATCGCCGTCGCGGCGGATGGGATATGAGCTTCGTACACCTCTACAAATCTCCGCCCTCTATGGAAGCACCGCCGTCCTCAGCTACATCCTCGACCGAAAATCCGTCGACGTTAATCGGCCTTGCGGCTCCGACGGTGCCACCGCCCTCCACTGTGCCGCTGGCGGAGGCTCCGCAGCGTCTCTTAACACTGTGAAGCTTCTGATCGAGGCCTCGGCCGACGTGGACGGTGTAGACGCCAAGGGGCATCGCCCCGGAGACGTCATAGCCAAGCAGTTCTCCTCATCGATTGCGAGGGAACTCGAGGTGCTCCTAAAAGCCCCGTTCCCTACGGTTTCGTCTCCTTCTAACAAAGAGAAGAAAGAGTACCCTTCGGATATAACACTCCCAGATATCAAAAATGGAATCTATGGAACAGATGAATTCCGAATGTATACTTTTAAGGTAAAGCCTTGCTCTAGGGCTTACTCCCATGACTGGACCGAATGCCCCTTCGTTCATCCTGGGGAGAACGCTCGCCGCCGCGATCCGCGGAAATACTCTTACAGCTGTGTCCCTTGCCCCGAATTTCGCAAAGGGTCTTGCTTAAAAGGTGATGCTTGCGAGTATGCTCACGGGGTGTTTGAATCATGGCTTCATCCAGCTCAGTATCGCACTCGTCTTTGTAAGGATGAAATTGGCTGCAATCGGCGGGTTTGCTTCTTTGCTCATAGGCAGGACGAGCTTAGAACGGTGAATCCGACGATAGCATCCGTCTCAGGGTTAGGGCTTTCATCCCCGAAGATGTCGCTGATGGGGGTCTCCTCGCTTGACATGGCGACAGCTCTTATGTTGTCGTCTTCAGCTTCATCGGCAATGGGTCCGTCATCAGCATGGATGAATTCGGCGGGGAGTTTGGTTCAGTCATCGAGCAGCCGGATGACTTCAAGCCTGAGCTTCAGGGATCTGGATTTCGATCCAGACTTGATGGGGCTGGATGGTGTCCAGCAAAAAATGCTTGATGAAATCTCTAATGCAGGTTCTCCTCACCTGAATTGGAAAGCGAATTCATTGAAACAGGTCGCTGGGGCCTTCACAGGGCACCAGATGAAGCAGCAGCTGCTCACTGGTTATGGAAGTAATCTTCCTTCTCCTGGTTTAAACTCATCTTCATCCTTTAATCTTGATCATTCCATAGCGAAGGCTATCGTGAACTCGAGACAAGCAGCTTTTGCAAAGAGAAGCCAGAGCTTCATTGACCGCGAATTGTCTTCTCGCCATACTGTCCTTTCTCCTCCTCCTTCTCCTTCTCCGTCCTTTGGTCTATGTGATTGGGTTTCTCCTGATGGGAAGCTTGATTGGGGAATCCAAGGAGATGAGCTGAACAAGCTTAGAAAGTCTGCAACTTTTAACTTGAGGAGCAATGAAAGTTGGCCTAAAGCTCAGGCCATGTCAGGACCGGTGGTTCCACCTATCAGCCGACCTGGCTTTGAGCGATACCAGAAGCAGTATCAGAACAATGGTGCTGGAGACTACCTTTCCTGGGAACAACTGTATGCGGAGCAAGAGCAATTGGTGGCCTAATCTTACTTTGAGAGATGAGTATATGTTGATCTTAGTAGCTCTATATTTTAGTTATTTATTTCTTTCATTTTCTTCACAATATATGGTCTAAAATGACTGCCTCGGTGAGGAAGAAAGGAGTTCCCGAAGGGAGTTTAAACTGCTAAGAGGAAGTCTATTTGTGTTCTTTCATTTTTACTGATCCAAAGGATGGTAACAGAAGTTGAGAATAACAGAGATTTGGAGTTGTTTGGTCTCTGCTGATAAATCTTTAGCCTGTTTCCTGTATTTTAGAGTTGTGTTATCAGGAATTCAGTGGAGTATTTTATATGTAAATTTATATTAGAAATATTATGTTATGCAGTACTTAATGCTTATTGTATTTGTTTATTCTTCTCTCATATGCACAATTCTTCTTTTCATTTTTTTGTTATATTATTTAAAAAATTTTGATTAATTTTTCATTAACATTATTTTTAAAATTACTAAATTTTTCTTTAAGATGAATTTAAATGTAATATTTCATTGATTTTTCTAATTTTATCTTAGCTTTTATTATAATATAAATATAAAGACTCTAAGACTAATGATCCAATTTTTTTTTCTTATTTGATAAATCTACAATCTTTGATCTAAAGTCTAAACATGTGTTGTGTTAAAAATTTCAGAACCATCTTAGCTTTGTTTGTGGCAAATTTATAGTTGAAATGTGCATATTGATGCCTCGAATCTAAAGAGTGGTTTGTTGGTTGAAAACTTTGTCATCCAACTAAAATTTTTGAGTTCGAGTCTTACATATATGATGTGTGTGTGAGTTTGTCTTAATTGGGGCCTAAATGTTCCAAAAATGAAGAATATAATTGTGATGTTTTTAAGAAACTCAAATTTTTAAAAAATTCAAATTATTAAGAAGATTATTTGAAGTTGTCTTATGGAGTCAGACTGGTAAAAACATGTAAAATGCACAAAAATGTTTATAAATAGTATTTCTTCAATGCATGGAGTTATTGGATTTGAAGAATTCTAAAGTCATTCCTACCTATAGATTAACATCATCGATCATTGATGACCATCATCAGTGCTCGCTTGTTGCCAATAGTCGAATTGTCTAGATGCAATCATTCAATTGTCATCGCATGTTATCGACGTCTCTTGTTCGGCTCGATTTCGGATGAACAAAATAACAATGAAACTAATTAATTCTAGTTTAAATAAATTTTTTTATTGAGAAGATTACATAATAATATTAGTCGAGATTTATATTTTTGGTATATAGAATAAATGATATTGATGATCAAGATTTAATATATCAATCTTTACATTTAGATGTTGCTTGTGAGAAACATTAACTCAAGTTTATTTCAGTTGAAATTACCTTCGATTGTATTCATTAACAGCTTAGTGATGTCTGTCACAAACAAAATCCATTTGAGCTTGTTCGAATTCAAACTTTGTTCAAACTTGATGAGTAGGCTGAGAGATTTCAAAAATAGTCAAGTTGCTAAGTAGAGAGAATGAAGAAGTAGAAGAGCTCAATGTATGTTCAAATGTTTTTCATGGTCCTTATCGTCATACAAACAAATATATAAATAACAGTTAAGGAGAAAAAGAGTTTGGTATCACTGCTTAAGGTCAAAGAGGGAAATAATTCTTGAGAGTGGAGCTGTAGAAATTGATCTTATATGTGGAGCGGAGATAGTGGAGAGGTTTGAGAGCTGAGATAAGAATAATTTATCATAGGTGCTTATCAAGTTGTATAGCTTAGCACATCCATGCAAACTAAGTGTCATGAGAGTGGAGAGTTAGTTTGGAGAGAAGCTCCTTGAATCTGATCAGAGGGAGAGCTTTGGTTAGTATTTCTCTAAGTTGATCTTGGGAGTTGATGTGCTGAACAATCACCTCTTAAGAATGAATGCAATCATTTATGAAGTGATAATCTTTTTTGATGTGCTTGCTGCAAGCATGGAAAACTGGATTGCTATCTAGAGACATGGCTGAGATGTTGCACAATAGAGTGGAGTGGCGGTGGTTGGAGTGATGTTGAATTTAGCTAGTAGATGACATAGTTAGACAATATCTGACACGGTTGTTGCAAGCACTCTATATTCTGCTTCTATTGAGGATTTGACCATGGTAGGTTACTTCTTGATACTCCAGGAGATGAGTGTGTGGCTTATGAATAAGTTGTATCCTATGGTGGATTTATGGTCGACTGGGTCAGAAACCTAGTCAGAATCAGAATAAGATCATTGTGTGAGATTGCCTTTGATGATTGGAAGACCGTAATTAATTGTGCCATTGGTGTAATGAAGGAGGTGCTTCATTTGTTGGTAGTGACAATTGAGAGGTTGGTCCATTTATTGATAGAAGAGATTTGTTGTAAAAGTAATGTCAGGACGTGTCATTACGAGGAATTGTGGAGATCCAATGATTTTTTGTATAGAGTTGGATCAAGGAAGGACACGTTTTCATCACATGATGAGGATTTGATAGAGAAGGTTGCAGGAGCAGTCTTGTAGTCGGAGTGATGAGCATATTTGGATTTAAACTATGTATGAATTTTGAGTATGGTTTATTTGAATGCCAAGAAAAAGAGAAATGTGAACCAGTTCTTTGAGAGTGAATTGCTATTAGAGAGCCTTAATGAGTTTAGACATGAATGATTGGTTATTACCATGACAAGGATGTCATCAATGTAGATGAGAAGGTAAGTACATGTTATTTCAGTGGAATCAATAAGAAGAGAGGGATTTGAATTGCTGAAATGGATGCCATTGTTGAGAAGAAATTTAGAAATTGTGTTAAACTATTGGCGACATGCTTGAAAAGCATTGTATATGTCTTTGTTGAGTTTGCATGCATGATTTGGATAGAGATAATCAACAAATCCTGGTGGTTGGCTCATATAGATTGTTTCCTAAAGTTTTCCATAGAGAAAGGCATTTGATACATCAAGTTAGCAAATGATACAGTTGTTATGCAAATAAACTATGAGAAATAGCCAAAATCTAGGTGTTTTAGCAACGGGGCTGAATGTTTCTATGACATTAATACATTGTTCTTATTTAAATCTTGGCCAAATTTGTCTTGCTTATTGATGGTTGAGACTACCATCACGTGTTGCATTTGGTGTGATATGTTCATTTGCAACCAAAAATTAGTTGATTGGGTGGTGGTGATATTAAAGACCACGTTACTTGACTCTGAAGAGCAAATAATTCATCAGACCTTGTTTTTCTCCATTGGGGTTCTTTGTTGTTTTGAGAGCAGCTTGTTAGAGTAGAGATGGATGAAGGTTTTGCAGATAAGGTAAAAATTTTCTTGGGTTTAAGATTGCCAATCTTGAAGCGTGTTTGCATTGGATGGTGGATTAGATGAAGATTATTGATTGGGTGTGCTGGTTATTGTGGACGAGCTTTGGGGGGGGGGGGGGGTTGGTTTGATTTGAGAGTATAAAAGTGGTGATAAGAGTATCGTGTCGTTGGTTAAATGGTGTGGCTAGGAATTGTCCTGTTGAGATGTATGTTTTGTGGGATAGGATAATGGAGCTGGGTACATGGAGAATAGGAGATGTTGGTGTACTATTATTAGTTGCTGTTGGGCGTGATGTTAAAGTGGTATAAGGAAATTAGTTTTTCGTAGAAGAACACATGCCAAGATAGGAATATTTTTCTTATGATAGGATTGTAGTAGTGATACATGATGTTGGAGTTGGTGTAACTAAGGAAGATACAAGCAGTGGAGTATGGGGACAGCTTGTCATGGGCTAGAGGGTGCATCCATAGAAAGCAGAGATAGCCAAATACTTTGAGAAGTTTTTGGTTAGTTTGTGTTTTGGTGAGGAGTTCATAGGGAGATTTGAGGAATGCATTTTTGGAAGGTATGTGGTTTATGAGGAATGTTGTGGTGAGTATAGCTTCTGTCCATAAGGAAGAAGAGTTCTTCATGTAAAAGTGTGTGGGTGGTTTCAAAAAGATGTCGGAGCTTGAATTCCAAAGTTCCATTTTGTTCAGATGTGCTTGGACATGTGATTGATGTATGAGGCCTTTATCTGCCTAAAATGTTTGAAATTGGTGGGAGAGATATTCACCATTGTTACTAGAGCAATAATACTTGATATGTGTGCTGTAGATGTTACCAAGCATATTGAGAAATGAACATTTTTTTTTTGAAATTTTTATTTCATTAGATGAAGCCAACAAATTTTCGTATAATCATCAATGTATATAACGTAGTAATTGAGTCCATTTAGAGATGGAATTGATGGTGGATGCTAAACATCACTAAGTATTAATTATAGGGGCGTGGTTACACATTTGGTGACATTGTGAAAGGGTAGTTTATGGCTCTTAGCCACATTACAAGAAGTACAAAAAGTGAAAAAGAGGAACTATAAGATAAGCTCAGTGTTTTGATTATATTTAAAGTTACCTATTTGTGAGGGTGCCCAAGCCAGAAATGCCATAACCTGAGATTATTGATTTGAGAGATAAGGGATGTTAGTGCTGGAGTAGATGTGGAGTAGGTAATATGATAAATACGGTTAGAGTTGTGGCCTCGAAGAAAACGTTAATGAGTCCACAAATCCTTGATGAGAAGTTCATTTGGGTCAAAGGAGACAGAACAAAGATTATCAGTTGTGAGCTTATTTGTAGTCAAAAGGTTATGGGAGATAGAAGGCATGCAAAGGATGTTTTTAAGAAGAATCTTATGATGGGGGGAAGGCTTTGGATGAAAACCATTGCAAGTCTTGGGGATGGGAATAGTAGATCCATCCCTAATGGATATCGCATCTAATCCATTGTATGGAAAAAGATGTTGGAGGTTTGAGATATAGGTTATAAGATGTGTTGACACTCCAAAGTCTAAATACAAATCTAGGGATGGTTGAGTGTTGGAGTAGAGAACTGTGGGAGGAGTAGAGGAAGTTGAACTCTATTGAAGGTTGCAGCAATGCTAGCATTAGATGGCTCAATGACTTGGTTTGCCAGATATTTGATGGTGTACTATGGAATTATTGTAGGTGCATCATCTGGTTACAGAGCTGTTGCTGTAATAGAATGATGAGTTGTTAAATGAAGATAGTCCACAATTGTAGCGGGGAATGTGACCTATGGTGGTTATGAAAGTGCTAGAAGATAAATCAGAGAATGGAGTTATCATATTTTGTTGTAATTGATTTCTTCACCGCACAGAAACAAATATAAGTCATCAAGGTTGAGGGGAGCGATTTTTGTTCGTATAATAGTTTTAAAGGATTGATAGGTAAATGGGAGGCTATTTAGGATGTATAGGATTATGTCTTCAAAGTCAATTTGTGAGATGACTATGTTAATGATGTTGATGACGGTTTTAATATTGGAAATGTTTGTGTAATTGTGAGTTCCTTTATAGAGATATT